GCCCTTGTGGGAGCATCAAAGAGGAGTGAATCACATTCAGGTCAAAGGTGGGAGAGGCTGTCACAGGAAGGGTGAATGATGGAGCTGAAACTGTAGGATTAAATCAAAAGCCTCCACTACCTGGCTCAGCAGGCTGAGGGCAGGAAGGCTAGTCTGGGATTTTGGCCAAGATCATGAGCCAAAAGGCCTGGCTCCTCCTTTGGACGGGAAATAGGTCCCCCACCCCGTTTCCTGAGGTTTCCTAATGTAGCATATTACATTTTCTCATGTGTATCTTTTTGCTTGTCCTCATCCTCCCAAATACTTCCTTTTTTAATCAAAGTTTTAAATTTATATCAGGTAAAAACATATCATACATTCCACACCACAGATTTAAGAGCAAAAGGAGACTTCCTACCCTATCCTTCCTCCCTCCCTCCTAGTTCCTTTTTCTTTCTTTGATTTTTACAATGACAAACTTTCAGTTTATTATATTATAGTCCTACATTCTTAGTCATCCTCTAAACTTGGATACATAAATAGTTAGAAAAGACATGTTTTTAATAATAAAAATGATCTGTGGAAACCTGCTCCGCAGTAACAGAAACCTCGAATTGTTGACAGATTTCTGTCGATAATTTTCTTAAAGGGCTGGGAGAAAAAAGAGGGGTGATAGGAATTTCTGCAGATGCTATGGAAATGTTGGGAGAGAACTCCTCGGGACCCAAATTCACACTGCCTACTAAATTGTCTAGCACTGCCCAGAGAAGCAAGCATGTTTGTATGAATACCCTCTCGTTTTGTTTTTAGCACTACCTATACACCAGGCACTCTGTCAAGTTCTTTCCACAGATTAGCTCCTTTGTTAGAGCAGCTCTGCAGGGCACAAAAATCCACCTCATTGTACCTGGCTGATGGTGCAAATTCCGTTCATGTTAACCATTTTAATTGGTCAGTTGATGCCACTGGCAGCCCAAACCAAACAACCCCGCTATATGGGAATGATATTCTAAGAAGTGAGTTAGTTAGAAGCTGCCTGGAATTCTCTGTTTAATCATAGAGGATTCTTCTGAGCTAGCAGAATTCACTAACTCCTAGTGATGCACATATGCTTGATAAACCTAACATACCTTATTCAAGGGATAAAATGATCACATCTTGGTATGTTTCTAAAATTAAACATTCTGTCTCTGAATTTACTGTCTTAAAAACATTATTACAGAAATCAATCTTTAAAGGACACAGTCCTACGGCAATCACTAGAATATAAACACCTAACTGGAAGAAGCAGGTAGCACTTAGCAGAGGTTTCCAGCACTCCATTTTTTACTAATCTTACCTGGGAGTAATGAATTTGCAGCTCTGGGTAGTTTTCCAGAACTTCCAAGTACATTGAGTTCACAATGGCCTTTCTTCCTATTAACTTGATTATAATGGTTTCCAGGATTAACAAACAAACTCTTAGTTTGACACTGGAAGCAGCTGTTGCAGTATAAAGCACAGTAGCCACAGCTTTAATATCTAAATAGATGAGGACCAAGTCAAGTATTGCTGTAGGATGGATTTTAATCATTCTAGCCAAATGGAATTTTGAAGAAATAAAATCCTTTTTCCCTTTGATAATATTGCCAACTGTTGAGACCACCAGTTTTCCTACAGATTACTGAAGGAGACAATAATACATTCCTAAACATGGCTGAAGGCCCATCCAGTGAAGGGCAAGTTCTCCGGCAGACAAGTGGGAAACAGACCCAGGATGGCAGGGAGCAAATGGCTCAGGACGCGTTTCTGATGCCCTTTGCCTCCCTCTTCTCACAAAACAGTATGGAATCAGAATCCTGGGGCAGAGTCCTTCTGCAATGTCACATCCAGAAGGCAGAAGATGGGGAGACTTACTATTAGTGCTAAGAGTGAGCAGTTTTGCACGCAGGACTCAAAGCCATTTTTAATAAGCAAGTCACCACAAAAGTGGGGTATGTGTGTGTGTGTGTGTGTGTGTGTGTGTGTGTGTGTGTGTGTTTGAAAGAGATAGTGAGAGAGAACGAAATAGAGAAATCTTCTGATACTGGTTACTCTCCAAATACCCACATGGGCCAGGCTAGACCAGGCTGGAGCCCACAAGAGTGGCAAGGGCCCACGCCCTTGAGACACCACCTGCTGTTTTCCAAATGTACCAGCAGGAAGCTGAAGAAGCTCAGTTGTCCCTTGAGACAACAGGTAGGTGCCTATTTAATCTGAGGGCTTGTGGATTGGTTGGGCAGATCAGGACTCACTGAAGTTGCTCTTAACTCCTCTCACTTTTCACCAGGACTGTAACATAGAATTTATCCGTTCATTTGCTGTAAGGAGGAACATTTCACTTGTCATCTGCATGCCCCTCAACATCTCTTTTAAAAATGTTTTTGAAACATTGGTTTATTTTTATTCAAAAGGTAGATTTACAGAGAGAAGAAGAGACAGAAATATCTCCCATTTGCTGGTTCACTGCGCAAATGGCCGCAATGGCCAGAGCTTACCAATCTGAAGCCAGGAACTGGGAGCCTCTCCCAAGTCTTCCACATGGGTGCAGGGTCCTAAGATCACAAGCCATCCTCGACTGCTTTCCCAGGCCACAAGCAGGCAGCTGGATGGGAAGTGGAGCTGGCAGGATATGAACTGGCACCCATATGGGATCCTGGTGCTGGAAAGGGGAGGATTAGCCATTGAGGTATCATGCTGCTGCTCCCGGGCCCCCAACATCCCTAGGGCACCTATGAGCAACACACAATTGGCCTCAAGCTACAAGGTAAGTGAGCTCATGAGGGACCTGACATCCACCTGGCAAGGAGACCACAGGTGGAAGAGCATGGTGGAGGTTAAAGGCAAAGCTCAGTCCCATCCTCCACTGTGCTGCTGGCTGCGGGGGCTTCATGAATGTGGGAGCCACGTTTCTTCACTTAGGAGCTGAAGGACTTTGGTGACCCGTGAGACTTTATGTTATTTTCCTCAACCACAGGGTGCAATTCACTCACTTGTAACTGCATAACTTGTGTGGCACCTGCAAGAGATTAAGAAAAGAGCTGACCTGCCTCAAGAGGAAGTGAAAAGGAGAACTTGCTAGGATGTGTATTATCATGATATACAGCACCTAGTACTTATGTAGAGCTGCCCGTGATCCCATATAATACCAAACGTTGAGGGTATATGATTTTATGCACCACCCTCCCCCCCATGTAGTAATATAATAAGATAGACACCAGTACCATTTCCAATGACATATGAGAAAAATGAATGCAGAGGTGATTTTACAGATCAGCAGTGGCATAACCTTCCTTTGAGTTTGCTCTCTTGACCTTTCTGCTGTTCTGAATATTATTAAGAAGTCATCTCTACCATGATTAAAACGATAGCAGCATAAAGCAGCATATATCACCAAAGGTCTCCTTGGCTATCAGAAAATTTTACAGTCTTCTGACATTCACCAAGATGGAACTGGAATTATTTATGATCAAAGTACTAATAATATGTTAAACTAAGCAGAGGAAGAAATCTGGGACAGAAGGGCAATTTCTTTCCTAGACAGCAAAGAGCAGTTTGACAAAACTAAATCATCCGAAGCTGCAAGTGTAGAGGTTTGACAGACTCTTCCTTCCTCCTCTACCACGCAACGTGAAATAGCATATCTACTCTGATACCTAAGCAGGAGGACAGGATTGTAAATAAAGGACAGTCACAGACCCAAGTGGTTCCTACGAATGGTCAGATCATCTCTACAAGAAAATTTATGATTGCCATGAAAGATGTTTTGCATGATGCAAAGCTGCTTGACTTCTCTGGGAGGAAGAACACCCCATGTGGCAAAGGAATCCGGAGGGCCCCTCAGGGGAGGTGATAATTTAAGATTCTGCACTGAAAGCAGGAGCAGGAGTGGGAAATGACGGCTTCCTAGAAGGAGTAGTAGTGTTAGTGCTCAGAGCGCCAGGTACTGCTGTACAGGACAGGAGAGCCAGGAGCAGTCTGCTGGAACTGCGGGTAGTACTTGCAGAGAGCAGGAGATGAGCTTCGGAGGAATTTCTCTCTAGGGGACAGGCGTAAGGCCCTGGAGGGTTTTTGTGAGTGTTGATATATCTGTCCTTTCCTAGACCTGGTCAGGGAATTTGTGAACCACCGTCTGTAAAGCACGTTGGCAGCCTTTATAACCGAGTGTGAGGAAATACCAAACTGCTTATATCTCTTCTCCCAGATGGCAAATGGAAAGACCATCCGTAAGGTGGTTAGGGAAGAAACTCAAGGATCCCTTTAGACCGTGAAGAGGCCTCCAGACATTCCCTCATAACTAATCTCAGGAATCCCATGTCGTAAATCAAATACCTACTGACTTTTAGAATGTGTCTATTTATTTTACGGGTACAGGGAGACAGACAAAAGATAAAGTGTCCATTCACTGGTTCATTCCTCAAACAACCACCACAGGTGGGGCTGGGCTGGAATCAGAGGCAAAAGCTGGGAATAAAATACAGGTTTCCCAGATGGGAGAAAGGAGCCCAGTAATTTGGTCCCTCCCCAAATCTGTATTGGTAGGGAGCTGGAATCAGGATTGAGAGCCAGGAATCAAGTCCAGACCCTATAAGGCACAATAACAAGCTTTAGTGGGACTACAGTCTAAATATGGTTTCACTCTATAAACAGTGACAATATCATGCCCAGGTGTAAGCTGGTTCTTCTGGAACATTCCGCAGTCCAGCCAGGTGGCATATTTGCAAGCAGATATGAATAATAAGCAACAACCATTACCCATGGAGCCATGGTAATCACCTAAACTGTGGCAGTTATTATGTGCTTCAAGTGTGGAAAGGTCTACTTCTAGAAGAAAAAGAATAGAACTCGAATCCTGAACCCAAAGGTTTAGGAAGCAATATGTCTGAACAATCACGATGCTGTCCAAAAGGGCACAGAATGAGGACATACACACCTTCACTTTCCCTTATTCTTTTATAGCCTAAACACAGTGATAGACAGAGTCATTTTCTGTGGAATCCACATTTTGGGGGGTTTTCATCCATTCAACAAACTGTATTGAACTTCTAGGATGAGCACTCTGCTGGCACCAGAAAGGGCAAGGAAACAGGACCCAGTCCTTGCTCTTGAATTGCTAACAGTAAGAGAGGACAGGTAAACATGCTAGAAAAAAAAAAACTTGCAATAGAGTCAAGGGCTAACAGACCCATTAGAATGCACAGTCTATGAGACATATGTTGTCCCCAAAGCCAGGGTCATACTAAGAAATAAACAGGAATTCCCAGCTGCAAGGTCTTACTGAATAATCCCTTGACCCAGGACAACAGTCAATCTTTAATAGGAAAAACAGGAAGCATCCTATTCAAAATCCTCCTGGAAGGATGCAGGCTGAATATTCATTAGGATGGGAGTGGGGGTGGAGGAGTGAGGAAGCAACAGGAAGCCCGGGAGCAGTGAAGGCATGAGAATTTCTCCAACTGTTGAGATATGTTTCCTAGACAGCGGCCCGTTGGGGCAGCAGAGGCGTTGAAATCTTCCTGTTGAGGGACAAAAGATGACAATGATAGCGAGTTGAGATACCAAAGTATTCTTTCGTTTTGATCATTGTCAGCTCTACAAACTCTAGTTACGCTTTATATATATAAGAATGAGAGGATCATTTGCCTCATGCATGGTCACACTGAGTCAGATGAAAGGAATGAAAAGGCTATACGAAACCATAATTACAATACAATGCAGCCAGGAGAGCTGACAAAGAAGGTTTTCTTCTTGCTCTGTCTGCTGCTGTTGTCCTGCTACTGATAAATATCATCCCTGAGCTGATGGGCAGGTAGGCCTGCAGGCATTCTGCTGGGGAGGGGATCATATAGATACAGTAGTGCTATAAACACAGCACCATAAAATAGCTCTGGAAGAATGAGGAGCTATCTTTTTCTCTCTGTTGCTCTTAAGGCGGTGGGGAGAAATACACACTGGCGGCATAATGAACAGGAGTCTTGCTGAATTGAGACATTATCACTGAACACAGCTTCTCAAAGGGACAGCCAGGGAATTTTGAAGGTGACCTAAAAAAGAGGATTTCATTAAACTGAAAACCACTTGCTGGCAGCATTTAAGGAGAAGTTAAATGCATTTGGCTGTACTACATAAAGGAAATCAATGTTCTCTATTAGCTACATTTGAGGTCATTCACATTTGTTTTCCCAGCTCCTGAGAATTTATAAGGCTCAACAACCCAATTCTTTCAGCGTGAATCATAGCCCTCTCACCTTCCTTCCCTTCCTTCCTCCTGCTCCACCCTGCAACCCCCCTACCCACATCCACTGCATTTCCAGATTGCAACCTTTTGACTTTCACAGAAACACAAACCCCTTTGTTTGGGATCTTTCAGCCACATCTTCCTGGAGAAAGGGGAAGGTGCAGGGACAGCAGCAGTCTGGTCCCCTCACAGTTCCCCTCTGACAGCTGTCGCTCCAGAGCCTTTTAGGGGCACACAGAGAACACACTGCTCCAGCGAGAGATGCTGCATATTCTAGTATCCCCCAAACACAAAAGGTGAAGAAGAAGTCTCCAAAGGAAAAAGGGAGTCATAGAAAGGCAGTCTTCCCAAGAGGCATGATAGGGCCTTGATTACGGTGCAAAAAGAGGAAGAGGGAATGGTTGATTGCATTAGATTTAAAGCAGGCAGGTCTGAAAGTGTATTGTTTGCACCTTTGACTGCTCATTTCCCCTAACCTTTCTATCCAAGTCTTGCTCCACATTTCTCTGAAGGAGTAACATAAATTTGTGTGGCAAAAGTCAGTTGTGTTAGATAATGTCCACCGACCGACCGCCCGCTTGGTGAAATAATATCGGCAAGTTGTTCAGAGTTGAGATGGAAGCTTTATTGGAAAATCCGCTCCTGGGCCCTCTTCGCGCAGAGGGGAAGGAAGAGGGAAGCGAAAAGGGCGTCTGAGATACATGTCTGGGAGTTTTATACCCATCTACACACGTGGGAGGGCAAAGGGGCTGTTCGTGTCCCAACTATGCAAGGAATGTCCATTCAGGTGTGCCATTGGTCAACTGGAATCCCGCCAGGTAGGTGACGTAACCGGCTCCTGTGGCCCCTCCTCCTGTGGGGGCGGGGCAGACCCGCCCCTAGCCTCCAGTGCCCTGGGGAGCCATCAAGTTGGTCAGAGACCCATACTATCACAGGTTCTCTCTGGAGAAAATGAACATATATTCAATACTTTTACAAAGCACTTCAGTTTGGGCCCTCCCTGAATTCTCTTCATCTTCTCCAGGTCATAACCCACCTCTGGACATGTATTTGGCATAGCCGCGAAGACCCCAATTAGACAGACTCTTGCCTCCAATCCCAGCCCAAACTTTAATATCAAGCTCTGGCTCTTAACTTACCCTTCTACCAAGGCAGACCCTAGGGGGCAGTGGTGATGGCCCACGCGGGAGTACTGGCTACAGTTCCCAGCTCCTAGCTTTACCCAACCCAGCCCTGGCAATGGCAAGGATCTGGAGAGTAACAGTGGATGGAAGATCACCCTCTGTTTCTCTCTCTCTCTCTCTCAAATTAAAAAAATAAAAATTAATTAATTAATCCATCCTGGAACTTCTAAAGAAGCTACCAGCTGGTCTCTTTTCTACATGGACTCAAGCAGACATGTAATCTTGGGTGCTCCCAGGTGCTACATTGTAGCTGAGCTGTCTCTTTCCATTCAACAAAGCACTTTCATCTATACATTATCCCTCTTACAAAGCACTTTCATATATACATTATCGCACCGGAATCTTCTAGAACTATAACTTGCCGGAATCGTTAACACATCTTGCCTCTTGGGGTCTTTTGAGGGCAGAGTCAGAGCAGCAGCCACAGCTCTCAGCTCCAGAGCCCTGTTGTGCCCTCTGCACCTTGCCGCTTGTTTTCAGAGTCTTGCAGATTCAGTCCTTCATGGCTGGGCATGTAAAAGATGATTCTGCTCTAGATAGTCTCATAGCCATTGAGAACCCAGAGTTTTCCTTCAGTGTGAGAATTGCTTCAAAGCAAACTTCAAAGCATTCTTTGGCACCTTGTGGCTTTAAAAAAAAAAAAAGAATTTTTGGTGCACACACCCTTCTCTGCTGGCAAGTTTCACATCAACAGGTCCCTCGCCATCCTGGTACAATGAGGCTTGGCATGATCTTGACCATAGTCCTTGATGGAACTGCCATCTGGGCCACATCACTTCCACAGCAGAACTTCACAGAGACCTAAGGCAGTCAGGAACATCAGAGATGAGGTTAGGAGTGGCAATTAATTAGCATGCCAGCAAGTTAAATTTTCTCTGCTTTGTTCTCTTAAAGAAATGCACCAGATCTCACTGATGAAATAATGGAGTCTAGCATACTAAGTGAAGATACATTGCGGTATGTATGTCTACTCAAATAAAAGGAGAACGCCCCATGAAATTGACAATATGATGCTAGATTCAATGCATTTCCTATACCTACAATGGCACAATACACTTAAATAGCAGAATATTAAGCTTGTAACTTGTAACTAAAGGACTACATTACTGTAATAATATGGGAGGGAATGCTTGAAGAAGGGAATGGGAGGGAGAAAGAAAGTGGAGGGAGGCAGGGAATTCCCATACCCACAAAACTGTATCATAGAAAATTAAAACAATTTTAAAATATATCACATAAAGAAAGAAGAGTACCAGAAACTTACTTCAAATAAATCATTTCACCTCTCTTGGGCAGAGTCTCTCCAGTCATAAAATGGGCATGGCACTGGTTGGCTTTTTTTTTTTTTTTTTTACAGAAAATAGAGGTGTGGAGACAATAAAAGAGTTCCTCAAAGGCAGGGAATGTGTTAGGGTCCTGGAGCTGCCACTGCGAAATATCATGCCTGAAGGGGCTGGAGCAACAGATATTCATCCGTAACAACTCTGGAGGCTGCAAGCTCAAGTTCCAGATGTCAGAGGTCTGGGCTCCTTCTGAAGATGCTGGGAAAGGGCACCCCTGTTCCAACTACAGGCTGTTGCCGGGCTTCAGATCCCGTAGCTAACTCAGTCCTCACACACAATTTTTTTTTAATGAATTAGTAAACTGTGTCTGGAACTGAGACAAAGTGGTAGACAGGGAGACAGAGATTCCCTATCTGCCTATAACAGATGGGACTGGGTAGGGCTGAAGCCAGGAACCAGGGACTCAGTCCAGGGGATCCACATGTTTGACATAATTCCAATTATCTGGTTCACCACGTGCTGTCTCTCAGAAAGCTAGAATCAAGAGCAGAGACAGGATGCCAACCTAGCAATCTGATGTGGGATGCAGACATCCCAACTAGCATCTTAACTGCTACTGTCAAACACCTGTTCTTTCTTGTAATAATGTCATTAGTCACATTGCTTTAGGTGCCCCTGCAACCCCAATGGAACCTCACCTTAGCTAATTTCATCTGCAATGACCCTACGTCCAAATAATTTCTAAGGTAATAGCTGTTGAGAGTCCAAATTGAATGTTACGGGGACACAATTCAACAGTAAGCAATGTTTTTGACTACACTGGGAAATCCACACTTACATACACACATAAGGACAGAATCAGCTATATTGCATCAGTTCTTCAAGCTCCGTATTCAGGAGGGACGTGATGACTTCCACGTGTGTCCAGGCAATGAAGGCATGAGGACCTACTAATGTTAGGAGTCAGAACCCTACAAGGGCACTTCCAAGTAAGAAAGGAGAAGTGAACCAATGATGTGTAGGCTTCACACTCTTTACCTTGATTAGTGGCTTGAACGACAGTGCCATAAGCTGTGGCATCATGAGGACTCTGCAGTCATCAGGAGAAGAGCAAATGAGAGTCCTCCCTGCCTCTCCCACAAATGAGGGCTGCCCCTCAGCTCGATGGTGCCCTGCATTCCAACAGGTGAGGGAACATTAGCTCACCTAGCTCTCCATTTGTAAACCTGAGTGCCAATGTGCTTGTTTGTCTTTCCAGTGACCAAAACACCCCAACATGCATCAAGGCCTCTGAGAACAACAACCTCACATTAATTAGGAGGATGCCAGGTGGGCATGGAGCACATAGACACAGCAGGTGTATTCTCCTCCCCAGCCCACCATGGTCAACATCTCTCAGATGGATGACCCTGGTGGCCATGCCTCTCTCTTGCCCACATCATTAGCCACCAGCCTCTGCCTTTGTCTTCCTTTGCCCATGCCCCACGCTGGCCATGCCCTTGCATCCTAGAGCCTTCCTCCACAAAGAAGAAACCCTAAAAGGTTTTACCTGAATGTCCCTGTGGCAGCAAGGCAGGGAGGATGATGGTAGTCCCCACCAGGCTCAGGGCTGTGGAGGGCCCATCTCCATGGGGCTGAGAAAATAGAGACTGCTGGGATCTCCCCTGCTCCAGCGATCTCTGACCCTGCTGGCCAAGCTTTCCCAGGATGGCAGCCCCTTAGGGGGCTGTCCAGCCCATGGGGAATGACTTCAGATGTCAAGAGATTTGTTCCAGAATCCAAGCAGGTCAGACACCTGAGAAAGTCAAGGGGCCACCTGAGACCACGCTACTGCACCTTCTCCCTCCTGGACCAATACACACCCCACATACACACACAAAACATATAGACAAACTTGCATACGTGTGTGTGTGCATACATACAAACACACCACATCCATGCATAAAATACACCCACAAATGTATATCCCACACATGGGCAAATACCATACATACCGCACACGAAACCCCCAACATGAATACACAAACACTGCACTCCACAATTGAACACTCACACACGTGCACTGCAATGAGCCATGAGATGTTGTGCTCAGTCCCAAAGCTGAGACTGCAGAACCCTCTGTATACTGCTAACACTGCTCTCCAAAGGTCTTCCTTCTACTAGGACTGGGGAGAGCATCCTGGATGAATTTAATGATGTGACTTCTGAGAAAACACTTTCAGAAAGTAGCTATGGATTCCAATGGAGACCAAGCATGGATGCAAGGGGTCACACTGGAATTTTTCCTTCATAGAAGGGAGCAACTGGGCCCAGTGCAATGGCTCAGTGGCTAAATCCTTCCCTTGCACACACTGGGATCGCATATGGGCACTGGTTCATGTCCCGACTGCTCCACTTCTCATCCAGCCCCCTGCTTGTGGCCTGAGAAAGCAGTAGAGAATGGCCCAAAGCCTGGGGACCCTGCACCTGTATGGGAGAAGCTCCTGACTTCTGGCTTTGGATTGACTCAGCTCTGGCCATTGTGGCCATTTGGGGAATGAATAGCAGATGGAACATCTTTCTCTTTGTCTCGCCTTCTCTCTATAAATCTGAATTTCCAATAAAAATAAACAAATCTTTTTAAAAGCAGCGGTGGTTGGTGGGGTAGAGGCAGGGGATGACCTACAGTGCCTAATATTCAGAGATGCTCAAGCAATGCCTTACTGTATCCCCACAGGGAGACAGGAATCCACTGATTGAAAATCAAAGCATACATGATTTGAAGAAATAGAAGCAGAATTTAGAACCACAGTAAAATGATAAAACAACAGAATGCTGCAAAATATTGATGGTGCTTTTTCTGTAAATTTGGAATCATAAAAGTTTTATATTCTCTCCTGTGTTACTTTTGTTTTTAAAGGTTTATTTATTTGAAAGGCAGAGTGAGAGAGAGAGAGTGAGAATCAGAAAAATAAAAATCTTCCATCCACTGGGTCACTCCCAAATGGCCACAGTGACTGGGGCTGGACCAGATCAAATCCAGGAGCTAAGAGCTTCTTCCAGGCCTCCCCTGTGGGTGCAGGGGCCCCAGCACTTGAGCCATCCTCTGCTGCTTTCCCAGGCACACTAGCAGGGAGCTGAATTAGCAGTGGAGCAGCTTTGTGCTGTTTATACTCAGCAACAGTAATGGAAATGGAAGCACTTCTACAGAAGGAGGCATCCATTTCTCCTTCTTTCCCTTATCTACTCAGTCCTCCGGTGATGGAATTTCCCAACTGCTTTTTCCTCTTCTCATAAAACACCCAAACATTGTGAGATGTGGTCAGACTTGCTTGCCTTTCACAAGAGAAGACAACGCCTCTCCTCTCTTCCTCCTCTCACCACCCACCACACTCCTAACTCCAATACAGAACCCTGACAAACAAACAGCAGCCTCACTTTGGACTGTCCCATGACCCTCTGAGCACCATCCTGTCTTAGCTAGGCCTCAACTCCAACAGGCAGAGATCAAGAGGAAATGCGAGGGGGTCTGGAATTCAGTCAGCAAGGAATGAGGCGTGCAGGCCCCCTCCCACGTGCCTGGCACCTTGGCCTTGAGCCCTGAGCACTGCGTCCCATTTCCTTCATCTGTGGGCTGCACAGCTGAAATTGCTTTAGCTGTAGCCAGTGGCATGAAAATTCTTATTTATTAGATTTGCAGGATGCATCCATCACAGCGACCTTTGGATCAACCTGAGTCAGGAGGCGTATGGACAGAGGTGCAGACATGTCCCAGCCTCCCAGCCAAGGAGTCCAGCAGCACTGTCCTCCGTGAAGTGCACCATGGGGATGGGCAGGCTGGTGCGGAGCGGCCCCTGCCCAGATGTGTGCTTGACAGACACTGAGATCTCCCAAGCACAACTCACACACTCCCCTGGCCTTTCCTTCTTCCTCTGGCTCCCTTGCTGATGGCAGTCAAGACTTTCAATCTCCGTCCAAGTTCAAATCCACTGCTCCTAAGTCTGCTTTTCTTACTCTCCTTTCGCTTACCCTGCTCCAACCCTGCTCCATTAAAACCCTCTTCCTGCCCTTTCTGCCCCAGACAATAACCCACTTCCCCTGCTTCCATCTCTAGCTCCTTCTAAGGTATCTCCAGCTGAGATGCCACAGAGCTCATCTCTGATGAATATTCATATTCAGCTTCTCTCCCTCCACACATCAATCTCTGCTTTCAGGCCAAACGGCTTTCCTCATCCCTTTCTCACACCCCCACACCAGCCTCTTTCCTCCCACGCCTGCCTCCTTTCCCACACAGAGGCTGTGTCGTAACAGGTCAGCAACTGAGACAAAAGAAAGCCTGCTTTGTTACACCTGCAGGACCCTAAACACCATCAGGGTTTAATTACTGCCTTCTCCCAGGCTCCCTTCTTGGCAGCAGGTGGAGTGTCTTTCAAGTTCTCCTAGGAAGGCTGTCTCAGAGATCCTCTGTGAATGGAGACTAATTTGGGCTGTTGCTGATGGTATAAAGGAGTGACTTCAAGCTAACCGAACCTGAAATATGACAAACTTGGAGAAAGCCCGCATGCTCCCTCCAGGCCCACGTCATCCTGTGAAAGCAATCGCTCCTCTCCAACGTGGTATCTCTGGCCCAAGCCAGTGGGCTGCAGCATGTACTGGCCCAGAGTCCATCCCTTTTGGACCAGCACCCAGGAGGGCTGAATCACCTTTACCATGCTGCCGCTGGCCAGGCTTTGTGCTCAGGCAGGAGGACAACTTGACTTCAGGCTTCTGGAATGTGCTTCTGCAAGGAGGGCATGGCTGACCCTAAAAGGTGTGAGTACCATTCAGGCTCTGACACATCTTTTGTTCCATAGGACAGATAAAAGATTGCACGCACACAGACCACCCCCACTTCACATGCGCACCTGAGACACCATTCTGGGCTCCAGGGTCTGCTCCCCAGCCTTTGCAGAAGTCCCACTCAGAGTTTGTGAATGCATTTCACGACACCTGAGTGGCTCTTGTTTGACCTGCTCAGACCACAGCCCTCCCATTTCCTCAGGACAGCTCCAGGAGAGGTGTTGAAGCATAGAATTCCTGGGCACTCCCAGCCATAGGATACTCATGCTCGTATTTGACCACAGTTTGAGGTAAAATCTCAACTTGACCTTGATGCTTTCCCATGTGGCAGGCTCAGTTAACACCTGCTTACCTGTCTTCACTGTCACCTATATATAAAATGAAGTGTAAATTTACCTTCTAAGTTCCAAAATCAGGAATCACTATGGAGGCCCTCAAATGAGTTCCTAAACTCCAGATTAGTTCATGAATTCACAGCAACAGCCAAGAACACTCAACGACAATCGGGGAAGTTATGAAACTTAGAATGAATTCTGCCAGAAGAAATAAGTGACAATGAGGCCAAATTGTAATAAATAAAAGGAGGGAAGGAAAAAGAGAGAAAGGAGATATACACATCACCAAAGTACCCAAAATGTATCTTTAAAAAGGTCAAACAGCCCATCTCGCTTCACTGTCTTGGTCTCTAGAACAGATGCGCATCAAACTCCCTGGTTCCTGATTCAGCTCTAAAGTGGCAGCATCTGTGAGTATCCGTGTCAGGTGTCTGGCTGCCAGCGCTCCCTTCAGTGCGGGGATGCAGCGGGAGGAGGTAGGGCTCTGAGGCACAGAGAAAGAATGGAGAAGGCTGAGGGGGTCCTTGAGAGACCGGGAGAAGAGCCTGAGGTTGCCTGCTGGGAAATCTGCCCCTCTAGCAGTCCTTCCTGTTGAGTCCACTCTACTTTCCACTAACACAGCTACCTTTTTTTCCGGTGTTGAAAATCCTACCTGGCCCAGAGACACTGGCAAAGGGACTCTCGGCGAGCCAGTGTGTACAGACACACATAATGAGGCTTTCCCACACTCGGTGTGTCTGCGCCCTCGGTCGGGTGGCCAGGATCCCGCAAGCTCCCTGTGAAGGCTCGTGGTGTCCGTCTGCTCCATCTGTAGGCAACGCCTGGGACGTTCTCCGAAGGACCACGCCAAGGAGTACCTTAGTGATACAAAGAAGAATGATTTACTTTCCCACGGCTCTGAGGCTGTGACACGCAGGATCTCCGCAGCAGCAGGTGCAGCGTCTGGTGAGGGCGACTCTGCTGTCAAGATGCTGCCTCCGCTTCTGTGGGGAGCAAGCACCGTGTCATCACACAACCGGGGACAGGAGGGCAAGCTGTCCCACCTCCACATGAAGCCCCTGTGGAAAGGTCTGACTCCCACTGATCACCCCTCTAACTGCCCCATCTCTGATCACCGTGGTAACCCCTGAATTCTGGAACCATAGTATGTCACCAAGGTAGTTCTCTGTGTCTTTACCTAAGGAACAATCCATTCGAGGCAGGCAGTGAGCCTCCGTGTTAAAATAGCACCTAAGCTGTGGGCATCCCATACCTGCCTACCTGAATGTAGCACTCTGGGTCCTGGCTGCCCTTGCTGCTACTGCAAATCTCCGAAAGAAGCGGTGATGGCTCCAGTAATTTATGTCCCTGCCACCCACAAAAAGACCCAGATTGAGTTCCTGGCAGAGGTCGCCAGCCCAGTTTAGTCACTGCAGACATTTAGGGGAGTGACCTGGCAGAGGGGTGCTTGCCATCTCTTCCTTCCTTTCTGGCTCTCTGCCTCTCAAGTAAATAAAAAAGTAAATAAATAAATTTCAAAAGTCGGTCATTTGACCAGGATTTAGACTGTTATACATTCCCTATAATCTTACATTTATTATAGCATGTCTTCATCATTCAGTGAGTTTAATGGATATTGATAACTGGGCATTATTAGTCTCATTTTCTTAATAAGGAAAGAGCTTCTAAAAACTAAAATACAGAACAACCAAAAAACGGCAATGCTACTCCAGGTCCCTGCAAGGAAGGGACCCATCTGAGATTCCGTGGATCTCGGTTTTTCTGTCTCCAAAGCTCCCTCACTCTTCTGTTACAAAACAAACAAACAAACAAACAAAAAACAAAAAAAAACTTTAGGTGATGAATTCCTCAGAGAGAGAGGTGCCTGCTCGTCTCTGCTGTTGAATAGATTTGTGGATTTGAGAGGGGCATCAGAAATACTGTTTTGCTGTTTACTCCCATAATGAAAGATGCTTGAGGAGCCTAGGAGAGGATTCAGAAAGTGAGGCTTGTCCCCTGGGGAAAGCCAAAGAAGCAAAGTCTGCGAGCAGAGCAGCCAGAACATACTAGGCCAATTTAAACAAATGACTATACTCCTAAAAGTTTCAAGTTTTGATGCAGGCATCTTTCATGTGCTTATCTAGGAAAATCATTGTCACGGTGCTGGAAGTCAGGTCTAAGACATTACAGAGCAGAACTTCCAAGTGAGGACAGAACTGAACACACCAAACTGCCAGTCCTTTCAGAAATTCCACAAAATGACATCAGAAGTATTTTTCAAAGACAGAGGACAGAAAGAGAAGGAGAGGAAGCAACAGTAGCAAAGTTTTGGAAGCCAGGAAGCAAATACAAGTCCACAGGCCTTAGGGTCCAGACTGCCTTTCTAGAACCCGTTGGAAGACTAGGAGGATTAGGAGTGGTATCGCCAGTTACTTCCGAAATCAGAGATAAAAGGTGAAGCTAAAGACATAGAACTGGGGCTGGTGCCATGGAGTAGTAGGCTAATTCGCCACCTGCACAGGCATCCCGCATGGGAGCCAGTTCAGATCCTGGCTGCTTCCCCTCCAATCCAGCTCTCTGGTCCAGGCCTGGGAAAGCAGTGCAGGGTGACCATTCATGTTCTTGTGCCTCTACGCCCACGTGGGAGACCTGCAAGAAGCTCCTGGCTCCCAGCTTTGAGTCAGCCCAGCTCTGGCTGTTACGACCATTTGGGGAGCGAACTAGCAGATGGAAGGATTACACCTTAACTTAGATATTTGTTCTCAAGGTCGTATGGTCAGCTTAGGAGAGAAAGAGAAACTGAGGATGTTAATCTCCAAGCGACAACAAGACACTTCAGAAATCCTGCCTACACATGCTCCCCTTCACTTACCACAACTACATCTCACGGATGTCCAAATATGTGCATGAAGAATAGAGGGCGGCTGCATTTAATTGTCTCCACTGCATACCCATGCCTACAACTCTACTGTTCTCTGCCGTCTGGGATTTGCGGCTTGTCCTGCTCAGTGTGTCCACAGTTCCTGTAAGGGCTTCAAGCCAGAACCAGGTAGCATCTTCAAAAACATTCTCTGAAATATTTGTGAAGTGCATCGCTGACTTGTTGCTATCCAATAAAGAGGCCGAAACACTTGCGCAGGTGTTTTTTTGTCATTCTCTCTTCTAGCAAAGGAAAATAAAGATGAAGAGCCTTGTTTCCGCCCTTCTGCCTTATTAAGAAACTTCTAAAGCAAAAAGCTGTATAAAGGCAGCCTGCTAAAACAGAAGTGTATTTAAGTGGCTCAACTTAATAAATACAAGCTTACAAATTGAGCTCATTGACCGTAATTGCTTACCACAGTAGGCACTGAACACAGAGGTTAGCATAATTGTGATTACAACTCCTATTAGCGTGTATAATGTAATTACAGCTCAGTCGCGTGCCGTGTCAGGAAGATTCTACTAAACCTCCTCATGTAAAAACGGGAAAGTGTGTGCCCTTCCTCCTGGTGGGCTGTCTCCATGGTGAGGGCCTTTAATAGCTCAGGGTCTGGCTTCCAATTAGCAAAACCACTGTGTGATTCTCTTCCGTGTACAAGGCAAAGGCACGCTGCGGGGGGGGGGGACTGCTGTTTTTGTGTAGGATGGAGTCATGGAGACCAATTTTACCTCCTGTCTGAAGTACATACACAACGCAGACACTCAGACACATACACACACACACAATGCAAACACTCAGACACACACACACACAGACACTGTAAAATGCACAGAATAACGGTTTCTAAGATTTGGGTCATCAAGCAATGAAGGACAGTGATTTGTGAGCCCTGGGAAACAGATAAACTGAGCCTTGTTTGTGCTCCCAAATGACAGTCTTTGGGTCTCAGGACTGTGGTCCGGGAAGGGATCGGGAGGGGAGACCCTGGCAGAGGCCGGTAGACTCTGGGGAGATGGGGTGAGTAGATAGTGAGAATCCAGGGGAACGCAGATGCCGGAGCTTATATAACAGAGTGTGAACACAGACACCACTCCACCAAGAACCCACTGACTGGAAGGGTTGCCCTCCAGTATCTGGCAGACAGGTTGGCCTTGTGCCACGTGGGACCAGGGATGGGAGTCCAGCAGCTGCTGGTGATGCAACATTTCCTATCAGGATGCCAGCTCAAGTCCCCGTGTCTCCTCTCCTGGTCCAGCTCCGTGTTCACACACCTGGGAAAACAGCAAAAGACACTCTGAGGGTTTTGGCCTCTGCCACCCGTGTGGGAGACAAGGCTGGAGTCGCTGATTTCTGACTTGGGCCCAATTCAGCTCAGGCTATTTTGGTTTTTTGTTTGATTGTTTATCTATTTTGGGGCATTTGGGGATTGAACCAGAACATGGAAGATCTTTCTCACATACACACTCTCTCTAATCTCTATTTCTTGCTCTGCCTTTCAAATAAATAAGTTAGGGGGTTGATATTGTGGCATAGCTAGTTAAGCCATCACCTGAGATGCCAGCATCCCATATGGGCGCCAGTTCAGGTCTCGACAGCTCCACCTCCAGTCCAGCTCCCTGCTCATGCATCCGGAAGGCAATGGGAAATGGCCGAAGTGGTTGGGTCTCTACTGTACATGTGGAAGACATGGATAAAACTCCTGACTCCTGGCTTCAGCTTGGCCTAGTCCTGAATGTTGCTGCTACCTGGGAAATGAACCAGTAGATGGAGGATTTCTTTGTCTCTCCTGTCTGTAACTCAGCCTTTTACATAAATAATAAATCTTCAAATAAATACATATATTTTCTATAAAATATATAACAGAGTACTCATCATTACCTGCTTGTGAAGATATGAAGAAAAAAAACTCTCTTAAAGGACTAGATAAGAACACTCGCTTCACAAACAAGTGTATAACCCAAGTTCTGCCCTGAGCCAGCCTGGAAAAAATCAAAATGTGAGAGATACTAGGCAAATACTTACAAGGCCTCAACACTGGATCCAAACGTGGCTGTGGATACACATCACAAACCCGAAAACTCACCCCTGAAGGACACACACCATCTCCAAGAGGCTGGATTACAGCCCAGATTCTCAAGGATTACTGCAAGAAAACAAAACACCCGGGACCCAAAGAAGTCAATCAGTACGATGACTGGCAGCCAATCAAGAAATTCCAGACGTTGCATTCAAAGACTCAGGAAAATACAACCCAAAATGAGGAGAATAATCCGCGAATCCAAATCGGCTCAGCACTGATGTCAGAATTAACAAAGATGTTGACATATTGATTTTTCATATTAAAAAGTGAACTGGATAAATAAAAATGTTTTTAAAAACAATGTTTGGATTGAGCTTTTATGAATAGAAAGCTATGATAGATATTTAAAATAAAGAGTAGCTAAAGAGATTAACCACACATTAGACACTATGAAAATAAATTAGTACATTGGAGGAGATGGTAGTGAAGTTATCCAAAAGTAAACGCAAATCACACCAGTAAATTATGAAACAACTTCAAGTACCCCAAGACATGTGCAATGAAATTTCCAGAAGAGAGAAGAGACAGAGTCTGGAATGACTATTTAAGGAAAGAATGGTTGTAAAGATTCCAAACTTAATGAAAACCGTAAACTCCAAGAGGCTCGACACACTCAAGCAAAACAAGCACGATGGAAATACATCCAGGCAACTCATCATCAAGTTGCTTAAAAAGAGAGAAGAAAGAAAAGAAAGCAATAATAACCACAAAAATGCTACAGCAGCCCGAGGGAGGAAAGTGAAAGATTATGTGAATACAGAGACAATGGGGAGATTTTTAAATGAGATGTAAGTAGCAATGGAAGCAACATGATCTCTTTAAAATGCTGAAAGATATAAAAATAAAAAATAAGAAAACCTCTAAAGCTGAACTTTACATTGAGCAAGAATAGCTCTCAAAAATGAAAGTGAGTTAAAGAAGTTTCCAAACATACAGAAACTGAAAAACATCACCAGCAGACCCACACCCAAACCAAACTGTACAAAAGCATTAGGCGAAAGGCAGCTAGTATCAGATGGAGGAATATGTCTACGCAAATGAATACGGAATCCCTAGAGGGTAATTAACTATTTTTTAAAAATTGACAAATGTGTGTTGATGTCTTATATAAAAATAAATATCACAACAATAGTATAGCAATGA